GCAAGGAGGGCGGAGAGCAAAGCGGCGAGGCCGAATTAGCTCCAACCTGTTTCAGGCATAACAGGCACCGTCGTTGTTGTCTTCATATTTATTGGGGTACCGTCTCTCGTGGAGCCCTGTTTCTAGATTCTTTTTTCTTCCCTTCTCTTAGAGACCCTCCCTCAGTTTCTCTTCCCGATTATCCTTCATCACGGCGCGTTCCTTCTAAACCCGGCTGCTTCGTAGAATCGCCGTAGGTCCCTTCTTTCGCGCTAATGACGTCTCCAAAAAAGTAACATCAGCGTCTAACAGCTTCGCGATAATTCCCCCCCACCATCCACCGGAGCCGACGGGTTCCCTTTTTCCGGCGGTTTTTGGGTGCAGGGAGAGTTAGAAAGAGAGAACGAGATGACAGTGGCCACCTGGTTGTGGTGGAAGTATATTTTCGGTTTTGAAGTGTATGGATTTGAAGGGAATGAGAAAGCTGAAGTTTTTCGTTTGTTAGGAGGTTAAATGTAATTTTGTGGTTGTTGGTTGTTTTATTCTGAGGAAACTGTTATAAAATGTAGAATTGTCGTATTGTATGGAATTCGGAGGAAATGGTTTTTTAGTGAATCAAGAATTGGAAAGCGTTTAAAGTTTTCAATTAATTATGGAATTAATTGATTTCCTTATTTCTTTATCTATTTTCCCATTTTCTTGAAAGTAGAAGTTCTAGTTGAACAGGTATACCTTTTTCCATGGAAAGGTTGCATTTATAACGAACAGATTTCTTGCAAATATGGGGGCAGCAGATTTCAGGTAGAAACCTTGAATCACGGAGGAAGAAGTTAGATTTTTCTTTTTGTGCCGCGGTTTAATCAGTCAGGTAATAGAATTTTATCGATTACTTCTTTCACTACACTGTTGGAAAATAGCAGGTCATTTCAGTTTATGAATATCCTCGAGACAGAAATTTTATGTATATTACAGAGTGTACGACCGAGTCCAAAGAGGCTAAACGGAGTGATTGCTTCGGTACTTAAATTCGAGCACATTGGAAGTTTGTTTACGGGCCGAGGTTATTTGCGCAAGTCTATATGCCTCATGGACGTCCTCTCATTAATGAATATTAAAACCAGTAAAATGTCTACGATAGTTCTATCGTTTAATTAACAGAATTATATCTAAACTGCGCCTCTTCATCCATTCATTACTCCCCTTCAGAAAAATATCAAAGCTAACAAAATCAGCAATCCCAGTAAAATTTAAATACCCAATAGCTAAAACGGATCACTGATTAATTAACACAATCGCCCTCGGAGGAAAGTTCTCCAGAAAGTCGTTTAAAGCATCATATATAATATAAAATATAGCAAGGTGAATTAGTTTCCAGCAAATAGGCGATACGTTTCCATCACGGGTCGCAAATGACCCAGCTCCGCCTTTCATCCAGCAGAAACGCGTCTCCCTTCATCCACCAGTTAAAATCTAAAATATTAGACGTTACATTATAAAATATTAAAAATAACGTCTCCCCATTACCCCGGCTTCCCTATAAATTACTCCATAAAAGCTTGAATCCGCACGGAAATCGGTCTAGTTAAGTCGCGTAAAATTGTTTTATACGCCGAAGTTGGTAAAGGTATATGGGGCAAAAATCTCGGCCGCACGATTTTCTCCAGTACCCTACATTCCCGAAATTAAAAGCCAGTCGGAGAATCTGCGTGTCTCGGGCCGAACGTAGTCCGGGGGCCACCGCGAGCCCCCTTTCCATCCAGTTTATTTCACTTTACGACAGCCCGGCCATTGATTTCCCGAACGAGGGGGAACCGGCGTTTTTACGACCCTACGCTGATCGTAACTCGATAACGGTACGATCATCGTCGTACTCGATGAAATTTGATGGAACGACCAACACCGGCGACGCTCCCTCCGAAACGATGCCTACTCTTGGATCGAATCCCAGGAGTGAGCGAGCGGTTGCTTGATTATGATCGGACGGGAACGATGTCAATTAAACGAACGTGCAATGATCGTTTCCCCGCTGACATAATTGAATGGTGCCCGGACGTCGTCGTCAGTCCCGATACTTTCTAGGAAAATGATTAACCAGGCTTCTTCGAATCGTTTATCCATAATTAGCTAGTCTTTCGTGCTTTTTCTAGTTTACACGTGATTCTGGTAGTTTCCTTTCGATTCAATAGCACTTCGATCATAATAACGTGATGCTACGTTTCAGTGAATATAATAGTCCGATTGTAATTGAGGTTTCAATTTTTTTTAATAATGTTCCGAGGAATGGGGACTGACGAGGTTAATATTTCATGAGAAATTATGAAGTTCGGAGTATATAGATGACGATCGTTACAGAATTTCAAATTTTTCTTCGATTTAATATATAATATATGATATAATATTTGATTGTAAAATACAATCAAAAATATAAGAGATTAAACCTATTCTGCCGAACCACCCCAAACTACAATAATTTAAAATATTTAATGAAAACACCTCAATGTTCATTAACTAACAACCAAAAAAGCGGAAAGTTCCATGTATTAAAGATATCCACGTCAATGCCCCATTGTCTTTTCCACCATCCACTAATAAATTTCACCACGCACTAAGGACAACGAAAGAAAAGGCTCGTAACCAATTTACCGTGTCTCCTTTGCCTGCAATCAGTCCCCGTTCCGTGTACGCAGTCCCGTTCACGCCCGATTGTTCAAAGGATAATGAAACAATTACGCCCGCGAAAAGGGCGGTTCGAGCGTGGCGCAAGGATACACCCCGGAATAATCGTCATTATCCGGGCGTAACTTCGTCGTTCCCTTCGGAGCCGGGGTTCCCCGTCGCGACCTTCGTTAAGCCACCTCCGCGCGTGCACACGCGCTCCGACGAACGAACGAACGAACGAACCGAGCGAGAGAGCTCAACCTCCTCGGAGAATCGTTATTCTAATGCGTCCCGAGGAAACAAGTCTCGAGGATTCTTTCCCTCTCCCTCCCCCCTCTCTCTTTCTCTTTCTCTCCTATTCACCAAGCATAAATTTGAATGGATCATCGGAAGAACGTCGCTGCCTTTCCCTATGATTCAGCCCCGATAATAATCCACCAGGATTATATATAGAATGTATTGTATAATATATTTAAATATACCGAATGTATTCATACTGGAACTAGTCAGCAGGAAAATTGATATTTTGTAGGCTTTTTCATGGAAGCTGTGAATTTTAATTCTGAGTTTACTTTTAAGTTTAGTGGAACTATAGAGATTTCAATTGGTTCGTAAATCTGTTTTTGTCTTACTGAATGTATTTCTTCTGGACGGTTATGGCGTTAAATTGTTAGTATACTAAATCATTAGTAGTTCCAGTGTTAAATATATTATATTTATCTGCATATTTTACATTAAAAACATCATACGTTATACTATATCTGTTCTATATCTTGACACAATAAATTTCATAGCCGACAGTAAATTTTGTAACGTATGTATTTGTTACTTTTTCATGAGAAATCATCTTCCTATGATTCCTTATTATTTATAATACTGTCCGTGCGCACCCTGTGTACATGCAGAGAGCAAGATGGCATCGATTTCCCTCGAAATTAATGGACACCCCCTCCCCGAATGTTGTTCGTCCGAGGTGCATACGCCAAATGAGCAACGCCCCGAGAAGCATACACACGGGCCGCACATTGTGCACCGACGTTAATCGTGATTCCCATCTGTCCATCTGCAACGTGTGTCTTCTATAGGGGGTGGAGCAGGGTGAGCGCGGGGGACCACCATGATTTTCCACGGCGCCCCATAAAACCGACACCGGTGATTTATCGTCGATGCTACGCCGGCCCTATCCGATTTCCAGACGATCGAATCGTCACCTACCGCTATGTTCATTTCACCCCAGAAAATCTTTTCTTTTCGGGGGGATTTTTGTGGGTTGTTTATTGTTTGCTGCGTTACGTGCCCAGCTTCAAGACGTTCTATTCCGTTAGTTGTGGCTCTTTCGCAAAAATTCGGAGCCTGGTCGATTTTTAGATGAACGAATCGTTTTCTACTACTACTCTGATTTTATTCTTAACTGATTGTAGGAGATTCTTTTCTTTCCGAGGATATTTCTGTCGGTTGTTTATTGTTTAGTTACGAATTGATCTATTGGTTTGGTTTCTGATTTTTCGAAAGAAGTCAGAGTCAGGAAGATTTTAAGACAATTAAATCGTTTTCTACTGATATGTTCATCTCACCGTAAATTGACCTTTACTGGAAAAATTTGTTGGGATATTTCCCAAACCTTTGTTGGGATATTTCTGTGTATTGTTGATATGTCTGCCGAGTTACGTGTTCAGTTTTGAAATTGTCTATTGGGTTGCCGTTGGTTTTTCGAGAGAAATAGAAGCCAGAATGATCTTTAGAGGATCGAATCGTCTTTTATTTCCACACTGATCTCACCCTTAACTGATTTTGAAAGAGTCTTTTCTTTTCAGGGATATTTCTGTGTATTGTTTATTGTTTGCTGCAGTACGTGTCGAGCTTCGAAGCGGTCGATTGGCTTGGCTGTTGATTTTTCGAAGGAATTCGGAGCCAGGACGCGTTGCCTGAGGGCGGCAGTAGGAGGATGGGTACTGGGTAAACGGGAAGGAGGGTGAAGTTAAAGTTAGAAGTGTCGCGCTACGAAAATTCGGGATGGGACGCAGCCGTTTCTCGTCCCGCTGCGGGAGGAAACGCTTCGAGGGAAATTTATGCTCGCAGAATAGTAGGTTCAAGATGTTCGAGAGATGCTCCGGGAGAAACCTAGAGGAAAATGAGTTTTGGAAGGGATGTCTGAGGTTAGTATCCTAGTGATGGTGTGATTGATGAGAAGTTGATGGAGAATTGAAAATAGAAAGTAGAATGTTGTTTATTATCCTTTTGAGCAAGATTCCTTTTTCTAGAAAATTTATTTATCTTCAAAACTGTAGCAACAAAAACATTGGAGACTGGGTTAGTTTAAGTGGAGTTCTTATGCTCTAAAGGACTAATCAACACTAGTGTATAAGAATCCTTAAAAAAGGAGAAAATAAACAAAGAGAATCCTTTTTCTGTATATTATTTTACGGTATTAGAATACACTTGTCTTAAAAACCTTAGATATTAAAGAAAATAAGGTAATTTCGAATGGGATTGATAGATCCAAACTCTGCAAAAACTCACAAAGAGAAAACTCGTTAGAACAAATCAAGATCACTTTCTACCAATCTCCTTTCACGTTAGAATCCCAATTTCATCTCTCCAAATATTAAACTACAGCACCACAATAATCTCTAAGAAAGAAACAAAAAGAGATCCTCGATACAAGAAAGTCGACTCACCGAGCTACAAGTAGTTTGTTGCTGTCCCGAGTACCAATCGCAATTTCCATCAACAGTGTGCTTCCTCAGGCACTGCGATCTGCACTGTGCGATCCTGACGATCGGGCCAAGATCGAAACCGGTGACGACGGTGATGCACCAGGCAAAAACGAGGAACAACGAGATCTCCATGTCGATATAGACTCGATATCGCACTTGTCTTCAATGATTCTTATCCACCCTCACACGTTCACTTTCGTTAAAAAAAAAAGAAGAAACCAGAGACAAAGTACACTGACAGGTATCTTCTATACGAAGCACATTTGTTTCTGTATCGATTCAATCAACAGTCCTCATTTGTGTAAACACGATCCGTGTTCGTTGCGTGGTTTTAGTGGCGCGTGGTGCGGGAAAGAGGAGAACAGGGACGTGAGAGATCCGATACCTCCGAAATTTCGAGCCGACTGCGACCCTTTGGAGGTCGGTACCTTCCTTATGTAGCCACGCGCCCCACCATTCGATGTCAGCTCGCCCCCTACCCCCTGAAGGCAGCGTTGCATCCCTTGTAATTATCCGTGGGCTGGAACCGTCCCTCGGCATATGGCCGGCCACGCTGCATCACCGTACTTCTGCCCGAATTATTTTCTCCCGGCGGAGATCTAGGCCAGACCGCGGAAAGAGTTGCCGATTTTTCCGTTCCGATGGAACTTATTGGGTAACCGCACTATTTTCTACCTTTTTGCGGTACGCCGACCGCCTGCGGCCGGATTCAGCCGTGAATATTGAATCATCTGCGATTCGCCGGATTGAATTGGTGAGATCGAAATGGGTCCGAATACATATTCTTGTTTGAATACGTATTATATGTTGGGTGGACAGAAATTGAATAATCGGAGGGTGATAAAAGGTGACTTAGTGTTTGGGGTGAGTATATTTCTCTTTTAAGGAAGGTTTTTTCTACATTCTTTTTTTTTTATTAAAATTTGATTTAGCGTTTCAGTTTTGCAATATTACATTTGTTTTATGTTATACATTTATTGTGGCACAGGAAGGTTCTTCATTTGCAGTAGTAGCTTCCCATAGTCATTGATGTTCTTTTAAAGTTCTGCTTTTTATTGTCCGATTTTAAGAGAATTTACGCTGCACTCAGTTCCTACAGTTTCCTGCATCGACAAATCCCATAGTACTTTTCATTATTTTGATTCTATTTTAGCACAGTCGGACTACAGTTTCAAACTCCGAGAAAACTCTCTCACATTTTCAGTATACTGAATAACCAAATTTCACGGTACGCTGATTTCTGTATAACAGCTACAAACTGATTTCGAAACGTGTTGGAAGAAAGTTTTATAACTTTGCTCTTCTATTTTCCCCCAGAAAATGTATCCCGAGAAACAATTAGCTATGCGAAACTTCAATTTCAACCCTTCAAAACAACACACTAAAATCAACTTAACAATCAGTATACCTAAAAAATTCTAAAAAGAATTTTAAACTTCTTCCTACCAGTGTATCTTCTTTATTTTCACATTTTTTCATACGAAACTCTCAAACTTTCGTCCTTATTCTCCACCATATAACTCAATATACCAAAATCAACTTACTAATATACCATATCAATATACTTAAAAAATTCGAAAAAAAACATTCCTTTCTTATTTCCATCAACTCTCAAAACCAGATTTCATATTTCATTCACATTTACACCACACAAAACCCCAAAACAATCCTAAGCACTTCTACCCAATACACCAAAATAAACGTGCCGATAAATATACCTAAACAATTCGAAAAATCTACCCATTTATTTCCATCAACGCCCGAAAACATATCTCCCTTTTCCCACATTTCTACCTCACAAATCCCCGAAACTTTCCTCCCCGTTTGTATAATAACGCGAGTGTGCAACGAGGAGCAAAATTTCCGGCTCGCCGGCAACGATCCTCCGCAATTATCGAAACCGTTTTCCCTGCGGCGCGGCGCGCGAGCCTCGCGATTAACGCGGCTTCTAATTTCCCCGGTATGCCCGGCGCGCAATCTGTCGCCGCGAATATTATCTCGCCCGGAGAAAACCCACCCTCGCGTACTGTTTCACTATAATTATCCACGTGCCGTATGGTCCGCGGCATATGGTCCAGAAAACGCCATCTTACAGGGCCCACCTTCGACGTACGACGAAACCGTAGCGGGGAGGAAAAGGGAACGCCGAGGAAGATTGCCCCGAAATTGACTGCTCCGCGGGACAAATTAAATTTCGTCTTCGGTCGATCGTGAAATCGTGTCGCTTTGTGACGCACCGGTGCTCGCGCGCCGCGCTCCTTCACGTCCCTCGTAATTTCCGGAGAAAATATGAGGAATCGGAGGAGAGGGAAGAGGATTTCGTCGGTGGTCTCCTTTGAGCCTGAGTACCCTTTCCCCCCGAGCAACAAACCGAACACAATTCAAACCCGTAAAAATTCCAATTACTCTTTTTATACGCCGTCCGCGGGAACCAGGCTTGTTAGCGATGGTGATTTAGAGACGCGTATGACTTTCCCCGTTGACCGGTTAACTCTGGGTTAGCTTCCACTGGAGTGTCGAAAGTTTCGCGAGGAATTAGAGGCACGATGTTTTTTGGTCGAGTTTCGCTTTTAACGAGCATCTACCTGTTTTTTGTTGAATATTCATTCCGAGTGGTTTTTATGGGAATATTTCATTTTCGTGAAATTTAATTTTTGATTTCAACTTCTGCCGGGTTTTTGGGCAATTTGTGAAACAGGAGTTTTCAGATATTTGTGGGTTACTTGAAGTTTATGAGGTGCAAAGAATACAGAAATTTTGTTGAGAACTTGAAATATACAAGCTTAGAAATATTAAGATATTTGAAGAGAATTAAGCTATTCGTTTCTTAATAATTTAATTAAATTGTATTTCATACTCTGTTATATTTAAATAGGTCAGATGCAAATAATTCTAGGAATTCACTGTATTCAGAATACTGTATAATACCAAGCACCTAAAGAAACGAAGAACCACCCTAAAATCCGACAAACTTCCGGAATCCAATACCGTAACGAAACTCAATCCGAGCGTACCTCACTCATTCACTAAAAAAAGATTATTATTAGAAAACGCTTCCGGGTCCCGATAATGCCAAGTCTTTCGTTCGGTCCTAAAAGGAAGTAGATAATCGCTGGTCGCAACAACGAGAAGGCCACACTGTACCAGCTCTCGGAAAATCCTGTGGGTGTCCAGGGGAAAATTCGGCAGCAATTAGTCCTGCTATCCGCCCAGTCTCCCTTGCCTCTCACATAACCGTGTCCATTTCTTTGCGAAGACGGGGGAAGATTTAACCGTTTGAATGGTGAACAGTTCTTTTCGACGACTACCAAAAGTGTGGTTTACGTATTTATTCATATATAACATCGAGTGAAACTCGTAATGAAAATTTCCAACTTGATTTTATGATAATTAATATAATTCCTTTACATATATAGTTCATAAAGACTATTTTGCTGATATCAATATTTTATCTTCGAACTTATTTACAGTGAATAGAATAATTCTTTGCGTGCATGTAGATTAATAGTTACATCAATTTGAATAGTATAGTTGGAAATAAAATTTTACTGCATGAAGTTAACTCTTTGCAGTCTGAACTATACTTAGTTTTGCATTGTAGATGAACGTTTCTTACATCAGTATTACTTAATTTCTCTATACTTCGATATATTATACAGTTTGTCCTATTGTTTCTAGGAAAATTACTATTCATTTAATCAAACAACATTCACGAAATTCAATGTACATTGCCACGTTCCCGCACCCCAGTATCAACAACTCATCAGAACACAATTAAAAACCATCAAAACAGATGCTATAAATGACACAATCCCATTACCAACAATAATTCCTCGCAACCAGTGCCAAATCGAAAGTCCTGTAAAGAAGACACTAGACGACACAGGATCCCGCCCGGAATCTCAGTGTCAGATGATCACCGATCACTTTGTACGATCGCATTATCAAAGGTCTCGCAGCGCGCGATCCAATATGGTTTTCATCCGGCAGGTACACGATCTTCGCCCCGCCTCGGCCGTCTTCGCCCGGCTGGCTAGAAAATAAAAAGAGCAGAAGTGGAACACGAAGAGTAGAGAAGGAAGAGGCGGAGTACACGCGGAGTTTCGACCGATAAAGGAACCGTGAAAGGTGCAACGGAGACGGCCAGAAACGCGGGGGAACGGAAAAGAAAAGGAGGCGGCGTTCGACCGGAAGTCGTACGCGGTCCCTAGGTGCGTGGCGTTCGATACTCGCGTCACAATGCACAGGATGTGTACAAATAAGGGTATTTGTCTCGTAGCCCGATTGTGGGATAAAATATACGGTGACGTTAAACGTCCCGAGTTTCCAACCCCCGTGCCGTTCCTCGTGCTCACCGGACCCAGCGCCGCCTGCCTAAAGTCCTGCGCGTGATCCGCGCCGCCACGGTCCTCGTTTGTGCCCGCTGGCAATAGAAAAAGGCCCCACGAATAGAGCGCCATTCATCTAGGCTGCGTTCAGGGGTGGCGCTCCGAGCGACGGGATCGTTCCCCGAACGGTGAGTGACATTTTATTGTGCCCCGGGGCTTTTCTTACACCTGGACCCGAAGGATTCGGACCGGGGATTCACGCGAGACGCGTCGCGCTGCGATTATTTCACTATGACGGCCACGGTCCACTGGTCGTGAAATTGCTTTTAATGGGATACCGGTCCAACTTTGATGTTACCAGCGAACTGGACGCGGCGGTGTTGAGTACGGACTCGGTTTTTGTAGTTGGCTGGTTGATTTGTAGGGATAGTTGGGCCGAATTTTCGTGCGGATAAAGGTATGGCTAATGAGGCGAGTTTCGGTGAACGTTAATGATGATTATTTGAGTGGAGTTGGAGATTCTTTGGGGAGGTTAGGAGTTTTGCTTCTAAATTGGATGGTGTATAACTGACTATGGTAAAAATATAAGGATAGTTCGGAAAGTTTAGGATTGAATAATGAAATACGATACCGAGTTTCGAATTACAATATTTTCACTGTTCAGTGAAAACCTTAAAGTAATATTTGAATAATAAATCCTTGGGATGAAAATTTTGGAAAGTTAGTTACAGCTTTTTCAGTAATACTCTACAACTATAACGTAAGTCAATAATATTTCAAATATCACTACCCTTTCACTATAACAAATTAGACCAACAAGCTTTCCAAATCAGTATACTGCCGCCTCACCAACTAACTCCAATATTCCTCTCAACGAACAGCACGGCAACACGGCAGCACAAAATAAATCACAATTATTCACCATAATTCTCCAATGCACATTCACCGAAGGGTTTACCAAATTCGTTCCCACCCCTGTCGACCGGAATATATACCACAGAAACAGTGCCATATTGCCGGAGGACCAACATTCGACGAAATTCAATTTGACTGTTCGACACAAGCG